AATATTTATATATACAGGGTGTCCCAGAATTGGTTTAACATCTCTCGTAGGCAAATAAAAGGAATAAAACTGAATCCAAAAGTCCTATACCCTTTTGCTAGATTCGCAATAGTTACTGAGATTTTAATTAACAAAGATCCGCGAATAAGCATGCGTCGGACTGTCTTACGCGCGTAAGACAGCCCAGTGCGCTTCGCGCGCTAACGGTGTACCTATAGCGACATATGGGAGGAGCTAATATAAGAATATAACAGCATATACTATAACATATACATATTAAAATGTAATTGTGTGACGCGCGCCGGGCTGTCCTCCGCGCGTGAGAAGGCCGGATGCACGCTTATTCGCGGATATTTGTTAATTAAAATCTCAGTAACTATTGCGAATCTAGCAAAATGGTATAGAACTTTTCGACTCAGTTTTCTTCCTTCTACCTGCCTACGAGAGATGTTCAATTAATTCTGGGACACCCTGTATATATATAATAAAATACATAATGTGAAAACAAAACACTGGTATTATACTATTAGTACATATATTACATGTATATACATACATGACATATATACATATAGTATACCTATTACGAATATGATTGAAACCTACTTAGAGGGTATAGGCCAATGAGAGCATATAAACACGGTTAATGTAGCGTTGATTATTTAGTAATTTAGTCTTTTATTAACATTATTCTTGATTGACGTTTCGACCGTCGTATTCGATCTGTTTCAACAATTTTATAAAATAACAACTTAATGGGATTAATTATGGTCTGTTTTTTAAAAGCAAAATCATGGTCAGTTGTTAGTTCCAGTCAATGCAACGACGATCCTGTTTTTACAAAGTGATACCAACAACTTATTGTGATAAGGGCACCTGATTTCTGTTGCTGTTGTCACTTTTAAAGACAGGATCGTCATGGCGATGAATCAAAGTAACAACTGACCATGGTTGTGCTTTTAAAATCAGAGCTGACCATAAGTGATCTCAGCGATTTGTTATTATATAAGGATTTTGAAAAAGACCGAATACGACGGTCGAAACGTCAATGACGAATAATGTAAATAGAATAATAAATTACTAGATCATCAACACTACATCAACCGTGTATATATGCTCTCATTGGTTGATATTCTCTACTTATTTTTGAAATTTGGAGCATCACATACTTTATTCAGATTTATTACTGAAAACCTTCCTAGAACTTGTATACTTTTCCTTTTCTTTGCTGATTGTTTTCTTCATGATATCTTGTTTTTCAAAAAGTTTTTTTTTTTTTAATATTTTCGCATATATTACATGTGTAGTGACTACAAATTCTACGTTTATCTGCCTGTATTTGTGACTTGAAAAAATTACCTCACACCTTAAAAAGTATAATACATATTATCTTCACTTTAAGAAATCAGTGCAGTATATTTTATTACTACATTCGAAAAACGTACTTGGCACTGATAAGGTTTCTCAGAATCAGAATGACAAACTATATAATGGTATCTTAGATTTGCCTTAGTTTCAAACCTTTGTTCGCATTTGTCACATTTGTATGGAAGCAAGGATGAATGAAGTGCTTCATGGTTATTTAAACTTTGTTTTGTACCCAAATATTTATCACAGAACTTAAAAAGAATATTACACATTATTTTCACTTTGAGAAATCAATGCGCAATATATTTGACGAATACAATCGGAAAACGTACTCGGCACTGATAAGGTTTCTCAGAATTAGAATGAGAAACTGTATAATGAAATTTTAGGCTTGCTTTAGTTTTATACG